TGTTGAACAGTTTTATCGGGTAAAGCGAATGATTAGAGGCCTCGGGGGTGAAACACCCTCGACCTATTCTCAAACTTTAAATAGGTAAGATTTCGGGGTTGCTTAAGCGAACCCCGAGGATCAATGAAAGCTCCAAGTGGGCCATTTTTGGTAAGCAGAACTGGYGATGCGGGATGAACCGAAAGTCGAGCTACGGTGCCAAACTGGGTGCTAACCCAGACAACACAAAGGGTGTTGATTGATACAGACAGCGGGACGGTGGTCATGGATGGCGCTGAAGTGCGCGACCTATGCTTCGTCGAATCAATCAGCCCCAAAAATGGATGGCGCTGAAGCGCAATACCCATGCTCCGCCGTCGCGGCAATTCTGACGCCGCGACGAGTAGGAGGGCACGGGGCCTCCTTCGAATCCTGGAGCGTGAGCCTAGGTGAAGCGGGTCCCGGTGCAGATCTTGGTGGTAGTAGCAAATATTCAAATGAGAACTTTGAAGACCGAAGTGGAGAAGGGTTCCATGTGAACAACGCTTCGACATGGGTTAGTCGGCCCTACGAGATGTGGAAACCTTGTATCAAGCGCGCTCTGCGCGCCGCACATCGAAAGGGGGTCGGGTTAATATTCCCGAACCGGGTTGTGGAGGTGGACGGTAACGTAAGCAGCTCCGGAGATGCCGGCGGGGGCCCTGGGGGTGCTCAGCAGATGGAAGGATTGGCGGCGACAACAATTCTGAGGCTGGGGCGATGGGCGAAGAGGACGCATCTGGGAGTTTTTGGCAAGGCCCTCGTCCTTAAAAATTTGGTGTTGTCCACGATGTGGTATGCAAGGGCCATCCACATGCCGAAGAGGCGGGTTTTCCGGCTGTTGTGGGCATCGGTGCATAGATACCTGTGGGCGGGAGATGTGGAAGCGGAGTCGGTAATCCCCAGGGTGGCTTGGTCGAAGCTCACCCAGCCCAGGAGTCAAGGGGGGCTGGGGATCCTGGACCCAGAACTGCAGATGATGGCGCTTCAGCTGCGCAACCTGCTGCGGTTTTTGTTGGGGACGGCGGGGACAGCGTGGGAGAGCCTTACCACTCAGCATTTGGCCCTGGCGCTTGGCATGACAGAGCAAATGGTCTAAGTGGCGCTGGCCAGCCCAGGCCTCATTAGCCACGTCAAGAGGAACCAGATTTGGTCCGCTGCGCTGACATTGTGGAAAAAGCACCTATTATAGCAGGAGTTACCGGTCACCGCTGACGATGTCTATAATCAACTCCTCTTTGACAACCCCTGCATATGTGACGATACGGGTGATCCGTTCCCATGGCAGGGGAAGCCTGGAGCTTTTGGGAAGCATTGGGCGGAATGTGGGGTTTTTAAGATTGGGCACCTGTGGGACGAGGAAGAGAGGGACTGGAGGAAAGAGGCTGACATGGCAGTGCGGCTCCCCCACAAGTTCCGGAGGCGGCGAAACTTATCTGCCCTTCAGCGGGCTATTCCCACGCAATGGGTGGATACACTGAGGGAGGACCATAGAGTGGGGGGAGAATGGGTGAGACGCAAGGGAGAGACACACCCCCTGCAGGTATACCAGATCACACAGGTACAGGGTGAGGAGGTGGTGACGCGAGCATAGAACGTGGTGGCTGGGTATGAAGGTCTGGGAGCCCCAATGAGATTAGGTCCTGGTGGGAAGACGCGGTGGAGAACTGATGAAATTGAGACGGTGGCGGTATGCGCAGAGAAGAAAAAAAAGGGGGGGCTGGGAAGTGCCCGACCCTTTCGGATTTGCAGTACAGGGCGAGAGCTGGCGATTGACCCGCAAGAATGGAGCTGGCCTAAGCAGAACTATAATAAACAAAAAGTCCGGCTCCCTCAAGTGACTACCAGGATCATGTACCGCTCCCTCCTCCCCCCATTGGATCTGCGTGAAGAACTGGTGGACCGATGGGCCAAACGAGAGTGGCTTCCCGTKATCTACCTGTACCGGTGGCGACARAGGGAATKGAGAGAGRAGTGTGYAGTGCTGCAATCTTTGTCGAATCAGAAGCAGGCAGGTCTGYTGTGGCTCATCTACCACCTGGCGGTCCCCACAGCGCAATGGCAGGCCAATAAAAGCAATTATCGGGACGAGCGTTGTACTGCRGGATGCGGCCAGGTGGAAACCATCCCTCATCTCTTCGTCGCCTGCCCGGTTCTCCAACAGTTTTGGATGTGGTGGGCCGCAGAAGTAGGAAAGTACTCTCCTTTTTGTGTCACGGAGAACGATGTGGCACACATTTTATTGGGCGCCCTGATCAAGGTAAACAGGAAGGACAAGGGGGAGCTCTATGCCTCGGAGGTGATACGAGCGGCTGTTCTCAGGGCCATTTGGACCCTTCGAAACGAACGGTGTCGATAGGGCAGGGTGATCACCCTGCAAGCTTTACGCGCACGGGTCCTGGAGAGCTTGCGTACGACCATGTCCACTGAGGCTCTGCGGAGTAGGAGAGCCAAAGATCACGGTCTGACGAAGTTCTGGGCTGTCTGGGGTAAATATCCAGGCTTGGTACAGCAGGATGGGAATCCGGGGCTATGGAAATATGGCCCGGCCCTGTACAGTCACGGGTCTGCGTAGGACTTGGGTATAATAGATGGCTTAATTTTTTTATTTTTTTTAGGAAGGGGGAGGGGAGGAGTAGTTGCAGTAGTGAGGGGGATTGGTATTAACACAGCAGTACGTAGTCAATAGGGGTCGTTCTTAGTCCTGGTTTTTGGAGTGGCAATAAGTGTAATACGTAGATACGACGATAGGGGAACTAGTGTGATTAAGAAGGATAGGGAACATGAGGTATAGGTGGAGTAAACTGACTATATTGATTGAATGGAACGGTTTGGTTGTGAGGCTAGTTGACTGGACAGGAATGCCCCCACACAGAGAAGTGGAAGGTCGAGACGGGCTATGGGGGGGTCTGGGCACCGTCTGGATGTTTCCCGCCCCTCATGCCCCGCCCCGACATCCCTCCTGTATTGTGGGAGGCCATCCCTGTCGCAGCCCCCTGCTGCTGGTGTCTCGGGCCAGGCAGTTTAAGCCTTCCCTTCTTTGCTTTTCTACCACCCTTTCTAATTCACTGTGACTCTTTTTGCTTGCCGGTGATAAGCAACCGGACTGGAGCCCCCCAGAATAGAAGGGGCAGTGTGTGATTGAAAAAAAAAAAAGAAACTGCGAATGGCTCATTAAATCAGTTATCATTTATTTGGTGGTCTCCTTACCACCCAGATAACCATGGTAATTCTA